GGATTAGGGTACATGATTTTAAACTCCTGGGTCAGAGAATATAAATCAGATTGAGGTGAAATAGGGAAGATCTTTTTGCCTTAAAAAAATCCTTTGTTATAAATCAAAAACCATGTTTTTTGTTGTTCAGAAAGGGATGCATTTCTGAACAAACATGGTTTTTGTATGTGTTTCATTACAAGTGAGATAGGCTCTTCTCAGAAAAACCAGGATCAAATCAGACTAGCACTTGGATGTAAAACTATCCAGGAATAGCTTAGGAAGTGACAAAACAGGATCCTACATGAAAGTGCTCACAAGCCACACATGTATTGTTGTCAAGAAAACTACTGGGCATGTTGATGAATCAAGTTTGACTAGAAGAAGACTTAACCTTTGAGGGGTCTTTGTCTGCACTTAATGTAGATCCACCAAGTGAGTTCCTGGTAAACTTATGCAGAGTTAGGTCATTGCTTCAGATTCTTATTGCAATTTATAACTAGAGTCCAATCTAATTTGCCCTTCCTTGCCATATGTCTCCATTCTTCTTATCAGATCCCTGATTGCTAAGGAAGGTCATAGTAAGAGGACTTAGCTGCTCAGTTGACCTGAATAGGTAATTTCAACAGTATTCAACTATCCACACAACAGATGAAGCACATTTTATTCAATTTTTTAAACTGTTTATGGGCGATTATGATATCATTGGCATCAATAAACTAATCAACAGCAGGGTAGTAAGGGTTGAATGTATAGATTAATGCAGTATTTTGATATTTCTGTTTGGCAAAACATGCTTGAAGAGTTACCAGAGATCTGGGCTACCAAAATCTGAATTGCCTCTAGAAAGAAAGAAAAATATTTGAGTTTTCTGTGTTTTCTATTTACTAGTTGCCCACAATATTGTAGACCTTTAAGATAAAACTCTTGAAAAACAATGTCTTGTGTGTTTCTTTGAAGATACTGTCTTCATTGGTCTTGTATTAGGTAGTCTATACTTGGGATTCAAATTTCTGCTGCTAAGCAAGGAAGTTGTTAAGTGAGTCACATCCAATTTTACAACTTTTGTTTTGCCAGAGTTAAATGAATCCCTGCAGTTGTTAGGTGAATCAGAGTTGTTAATCGAATCAGACTTCTTCATGGACTTTACCTTTTGGAAGCTGGCTGGGAAGGTCGCAAATGGTGATCATATGACCTTAGGATGCTGCAACTGTTTTAAGAACAGGCCATTGCCAAGCACCTGAATTCTGCTCACATAACCATGGGGATAGCAACAGTATTTAGACTTACTGCTTTACAGCCCTCTCTAAGCAGAGTCAGCACCAGAGGTGGTATTCAACAGGTTCTGACCAGTTCTGGAGAACCGGTAGCGGAAATGTTGAGTAGTTTGGAGAACCGGCAAATACCACCTCTGGCTGGAGATTTTACAGTATCCTTCCCCTGCCACGCCCACTAAGCCACGGCTACAGAACTGGTAGTAAAAAAAATTTGAATCCCACTGAGTCAGCATATTGCCCCCAACAATCTGGGTCCTCATTTTACCCATTTCAGAAGAATGGAAGGCTGAGTCAACCTTGAGCCTGGTGAGATTTGAACTGCCAAATTGCCGGCAGTCAGCAGAAGTAGCCTGCAGTACTGCACTCCAACCACTGCTCCACCATGACTCAACTAGAGTTGTTAAGGACTGGTCACATGTCATTTTTTTCAGTGCTGTAGTAACTTCTAATGGTCACTAAATGAATGTCTGTAAGTTGAAGACTACTTGTAGAGCTCTACACCATGAGAGGGAGGGAGTTTCTCAAGTCCTGCAGACTAGTAGTTTATCCCAAACCTAAAAAGTATTTCATCAAAAGACATCTTAACACAGAGTTTTTGTTAAAAAAATGCAGAAATGTATCAAGGGCTTTCTTTCCAGCAAACAAAATGACTGTAAGTTCTTTTTAAAGTAGGAAGCAATTTTCTTTATTTTTATAGGGGATGTTAGGGGTATAAAGCTATATACAATCATCTATAATTTATTTTTGTACGCTGCCATTCAAAAACAGGTTTCCCCAGAGTAGTTCACAACAAAATCAATCACCTCAAAATGCAGATCAACCTTTTTTTTTTTTAAACCAACAACCTGTTGTACAATCAAATACTCTATCCCACATTCCTCATGTCCCCTTTTAATTCTTTGGAAAATTGATCCCTCTAATGTCTGGTGAATCAGACAAAAAGATTTGTTATGCCAAAAAAAAAAAAATGCAGAAAGGAAGCTTAACAACAAAAGCAAAGGAGGGTGCGTACATTTTCTCTCCTGTTCCAATGTATGGCTACACAATCTTTGTCACCCAAATGACACCCATTTATCACCCTTTCATATAATGATTAACATTATAGCTAGTTACAAGGTAGTTGCAGGTAGTTCTTAACCATGTAATCATATTTCTTTCTAATATTCTTATTATTATTCTCAAATTAAGGCCAAAGCAGTGGATAAGGCTTATTTCAAAATATATTCTCCAATTTTCAGAAAACACACAGTGCAGAAATGAAAGTGCTGGTCTATACCATCCCTTACTATTCTATAAGTTTCTCCCAAGGTTTTAGGCAGCAGCCTTAACCGAACAATGTTACCTGAGATTCTTTGCAGGGGGTAGATCAAGTTGGAGTACACTTGGCAGATGCTTTTTAAAAAAATAAATAAAATAAAATTGACAAGTTGCAAAGCAATGTCCCAGCTTCAAACATAGCATTTATTTGCTGCAATACCTTCAGGCCTGCAAAGGTGTAGATCACCTCAGTAATTTTGTGAACAGGGGATCTGTGCAGGGCAGCCCATTCTTAAAGAAACCTGAACCAAAATTTTCTAACGTGCGGTGGACCCAAAGGATTGTCTTCTGTTGCTATACAGCCTACATGTATTGGGTCACAATTGCACAGGTCTGTTAACAATTTTAACATGGAAAAACATGTGCCTTCCCACAGACATTAAAAAAAGAGAGCTGAATTTCTGATCAGAGAAAAAAGGATGAGCAGATCCAGGAAAGGATGATGATGATGAAGATATTCTTTTCCCCATAACATTATTCCTTTCGTTGATCTCGAGGTACTTAAGCTTGTACAAAGATCTGCAAAAATCATGCATTTGTCAGGAAAGGTGCAGGCAATATGGAACTATGCTCCGTTTGGCTAGAATCCGCCTCCCTCTCTTAAATCCTGGCACACTTGCTGTTGTTTTTCTGGGAAACTCTGCATGCTGCCAGGGCAACAAATATGTGGGCTTTGCTAGGAAGAGCTCTCTTTCAGCGATAAGGCCTCCATTTCTTGCCACAGTGCTGCTGCACCTGCCTCGCATAATGTATAAGGAGCATGGCCGGCTACAGTTAGCTCTTGCCTAACCCATGCGGATTAAAGAAACCAGGAAATGGGAGGGAGGGATACACTGTGTTGGGGACGATCAGTAAGAGCAAGGGTCTTCAAACTTGGCAAGTTTAAGACTTGTGGCACTTCAACTCCCAGAATTCCTGAGTGGAGTTGAAGTCCACAAGTCTTAAAGCTGTCAAGTTTGAAGACCCCTGAGTAAGATTTGTCTGCCTGTCTTCAGGTACACCACACCAAGTCAAAATCCATTGCACGGTGTGGTGTACCTGAAGACAAGCAGATCACATTTTGGAACTTTAGAAAGGAAAAAGAAAAATATAAATAAAAGGAGCTTTAAAAAGAAACAAAAGGCCGCCCCTGCTATGCTAGATCAGCAAAGCTCAATCAACCTAGACCAGGAGCTCCCCAACCCCTGGGCCGCAGCCCACCTCCAGGCCTTGAGCCGTTTGGAACCAGATCGTAGAAATGGTGGGTGAGCACACCTGTGCATGCACGCATCCCCATGGACAGTTGTCCATGCCCACCACTTGTGCAAATGGAGCTGTGTTTGTGTGCGCACATGAGTGCTTGCCCACTGCTCACATGGAACCATCTCCTCTCCTCCCCCTGTCCCCCCCCCCCGCTAGCCTGCAAAGTCGAAAAGGTGAGGGAACTCTGATCTAGACACAATCCACTGGTTGCTTACTTCCAGAAGCAGGGGAGAAGAGAGACAGCCGTGAGCTAGGTGACAAGTTAAATTTGTAAGGGAATTTCAAGTCAAAAATGCATTGCACGGTGTGGTGTACCTGAAGACAGGCAGACAAAGCCATTTGGTCTTGGATATTTCTCTGTGCTGTCTCAGCCTAATACCAAAGCATCCCTGACCCATCACAGACTGCTCCTGGGCCCTAGGCTCACCCAACCAATCATTTCCTCTCCCTGCTGTCTTCCTCGCATCCAAATGCAGCCGACCAGTTTATATGTTACCCCTCACTGTCTGGAAGAAGGGCTCCCCATCTTCCTCCCTCCTGGAAAGAAGTCTGCAAACGGATCTGGTTGAGATTCTCTAAGCTGAACAGCTGTTGGGAACAGCTTGCAATAACCTGCCAACCCAATGGAAAGAGATGCAGCAGGGTGTTGTAAAGGACAGAAGGATCACTGAATGCCATCCAGAACCAACTCACTACGGAGAAATCCTAGTGCAACCCAATGTTACAGTCTCCTCATCTGGAGGGAAACATGTTTCACATATATATGTATATTTATAGGCTGGCAATGCATGCAGTTTTCTCTGGGTTGTACCTGTTGGTGTGAATGTATGTGGTTGGGTGTACTGGAATGATGGCGAAATACCCAGCCTATTCTAAATGACATGTGCTTATAAAACAGGGTTATGTGACAGAAATGAGCTTAGTTCAAACATAAGTTTCCCCCTTCCAGAATTTTTGGGATCAAATACTTGATGAGAATTATAAAAAGGTTCACTTCTTCTGAAGAATCCCAAGATGTGCTTGTAAGAAGGGACCAAAAACTCAAAGGAGCAACCACTTCTTAGTATGGATCTACCACTGGTTATTTTCTGAGGAAATAAGACTCAGAAGCAGGCTTGTTCATCTGAAGGGCAGAGGCTAAGGCTTTCTGGCCTGTTACACCAGCATGCTGACTTTTCTTTTCCCCCCCAGATGGGTCTTTCATCGCCCCATCAAAACAAACAGTCCACTTTCTAACACTTCCCTTTGTTTATGGTCATAAAAGTATAGTGGTCTCTCTCTTTCTCCCCCACCTAACTCCAGTCAGCAGCATTTTCTTGATGTTCCAGCCAGGACAAAAGACACACACAGATCCCCAGAGTCCCTTCCTTGGGCAGAGGGAGGAAGGGAGGAGAAGCAAAGCAAGATCCTGGCAGGATCTTTGGGTGTGGGAAGCAGGAAAGGCCAGAGGTCAAAGGAAATCGGTCTACTTTTACTAGACTGAATATTCCTGCTGGTTTCAGTATTCATACAAACCATGGCTTTTTAGGGCAATACCTCCCATGGCCTTTGAAAGAGAGAGACCGCCTGTGTAGCTCCCAGTCAACCCTCCCTCTTTTTTCAAGGCAAAGCGCAGGGCTGTGAGAATTAAGAAAAAGCTTGATTTGCTTTGGTGCGGGCCGTACTTTTCCTCTTACCAGTGAATGATAGGCCTGAGTAATACTATAGAACCTGATTGCCTTTGCATACTTTCACACATGCATTCTTAGCTCTTCCTTCACATCCACACATGGCAATCAACAGCAGACCTATACTTCTTATGTACAGTCTCTAAAAGGATTCTCTAAAAAGTCATGTCTTTGGAGTAGATCCCCCAAATTTCTTTCCTTCCTTCCCTGCATCTTCTGGGTGGCACTCTGCTCCTTGGTCTCTTTAGCGTTCGGTCATTCAGACTGCCTTAGTATCTTCTTCCTTCAGAGGAAAGTACAGCAGTTGGACCGCCTCTTCTCTGACTCAATGTAGTCATGGATTTGGAACCTGGGCTCGTCCAGCTGCTTCACAGCTCGTTGCTTGAGCTCTCTGGAAAGCAAAGGGTCAAAGCGCTGCTCAGACATTATTTCAAAAGAGAAATGTTTTCCGGGACTTCTAGGAGAATATTTAATCTTTCTTAAAATGCAGGACTCGGAATAAGCATATTAATATCTCTGCCCCAAAAGAGATGCTACTCACAACTCTTTCCAAATCTGCTGTGACCTTGAAAACCAGCTACAGTACACCATTTCTTGGATGTTTCATTTCAACACAAAGATTACGAAGCGTTCCAGAAAGAACAGAACGAATTGTTCTGTCTTAAGTAGGCAGCAAAAGGGAGGGAAAAAATGGTGAGGTGTTTGTGAAACATCCAAGAGAAAAAGTGTTAGGAGAGGGAGATGGATGAACTCCCATTGAAAACCTCACAAAGGTATGTAATTTTGGTTGCCCCATTTAACACTTCTGCCGAGGGATTGAATAATTCTCTGATTATGAATACTAGAGAGAATTCCTTACATTTTTGAACGTTGAGTTTTATTTGGTCTCACCTCTGATAGCCTTTTCTTAAGAAAGTTCATAGCAACCCAATGACCAATTACCTTGGGTTTCCTGAATCCCTCTTTCCCAAATTCTCCTGAGGTTTTGGAGCTCATTCCTACCAGTCCCACCAGGATGACCCAAGTGGTCTGGCTCTTACTATCCAAAACCTCTTAAGGCACCAGCCTTGAGTCCTGGAAGGGCTTGGTAAAATGAAATCAAGGAGGCTCAACGTCTTCTCCAAATGCGGTTATATTTTTGAAGGCAAACTATCCGCAGCCTGTTACTCACTTTGCAATGGCCAGAAATGCCAGTTCCACATTCATACCAGTCTTGGCACTAGTCTCCATGAAAGGCACTCCATATTCCTGGAATGAAAACAGAGCAGAAAAAGTGGCAACATCTTGCCAGCAAACATGATGAATCCTTTTTGATAAGGTTCCTGTGCTGGAACCTTAACAAAAGCCCTGGAACTTTAAAAATACTAGTCCCAAAGAGGAGGTGGAAAATCTTGCTATTTGGTTCAGTTAAGCCGATGACCAAGATACTGCCTGCTCTGCATCAACAGGAGGAGATGCTTACTGATCCAGTTGGCTTTTTCTGAAATTGGCCAGAGAGTTTGGATCGCCTACCTCAGCTATGCTGCAAGACAGTCACACTTGGACTTGTTCACTTACCCTGGCTAAGGATTCCCCATCCTCTGTTCTGATAACTCGCTCACTGCTCATGTCAGCCTGCAGACAGAAAGACAGGAAGGGTGGGGAAGAGCAAGGAAGAATGCTGAATCACATATAAGCAGGAGATACCTCAGTAGTGCATTTCCAGTGGGAGGGGGGAGGGTTAAAAAAGAGACAAAATAAACGTTTTAAAATATCCTAGGCAGAAGATAGATAGGTTTTCCCCTAAAATGCCTATCTTAGTCTCACTCTACTTCTTCTGATTTTGTTCTAAAATTCCCATTTGAAAAAGAAATGCATTCGGAAGAAAAGCAACAGAATTAGGCTCCCAGCAGAAGTTTGCTCTCAGGTTTGTCTGTCTGTCTGTCTGTCTCTGCATGCATGCATCCATCCATCATCTATATCATCTCTCTCCCTATATCTCTATCATCTTTCAGTTTATATTGCCACTCATCTTAAATTCATGGCTCTGGGCACCTAACAGCACTTAAAGACACCATACAACAATCTATAACAATAAAGTATGCATAAATAATTGACAACTGAGGTAAATCACCAAAGGAGCAAAAACAAATTTCTCTACTGCAGTCGATTCTATCACTGATACAGTGTTGACTCCAAATGGAGTTCAGGAAGAGTGAAAGCCAACCTTCCGCCAGGATTTTAATGCTTTGCTTCATTATTTTTAAAAGTTTGAGCATTATGTGTTGGTTATGCCATTTGTTTGGTCTGTGTTCTGTTCAGTTCCATTTGCTATTCAGTTTTACTTTGTAAATTGCCTCGGTTCTCAAAGAGAAAGAAAGTTAGGCTATCAATTCAATAAATAAATTTCTAATTAAATAAATAAATAGTTTGGTTTTAAGCCATTCAGAAAAATAGGCCTTCCTGTGCAGCACTGAAGCAGGATAGACTTTTGTATGCCAGAGAGGAGCAGGAGAGAATTACAAAGCTTTCTGCCAACAGGAAAGGCTGGGATGAGGGACATCCACATTGGGGAGCATAAAGGAGTCCTGACATATTTTTCTCCCAGATCTTCCTTTGGCAACAGGAGACACCATTACCGAGTGGTGCTTGTGCCAATAGGGCAAAAAAGTAAGTTATTTCCAAATTGAGCTTATCTTCCGATGCTTGACAAGAACGCATTCTGATATTCCAAGGCTGGACAGTTGTTGGCCTTTCCAGGTATGGGTGCCTCTGTTTTTGAGGATGGAGGGATTGGGAGGGGGAGGAGGGCATGTCTTAAATCAGGGGTCTCCAACCTTGGCAACTTTAAGACTTGTGGACTTCAATTCCCAGAATTCCTCAGCTGGCTGAGGAATTCTGGGAGTTGAAGTCCACAAGTCTTAAAGTTGCCATGGTTGGAGACCCCTGTCTTAAATTGTCCCCTACTTCCAGGGCAATTCCAGAGGTGTGAAGTTACAGGCTTGGAGTGCCCCCTGCTGGCTCACCTTGGTCAGCAAAGGGGCAAGCTACAAAAATGCATCAACGGATTTTTTACCTTTAATATTATTTTGCCATCCACCTACAAGCCACCACCCCAAAAATCATTTTTTACTGAAAGGTTGGCCCCCATTCACAAAAATCCCCGTTCATTTTCTGTTCTTCTTTCTTTTTTATGGTTGAGTGTGTCCATTCAGTTTTCACAATGAAAAGGTTTTTGTGCACTTCCAGCCCACCATTCTGCCAAACTGGAATGGCAACACAATATTTTTACTGTCAAGAGACCTATTTCCTCAGGCATAATCTTCCGGGGAGCACATGGTGGCCAGAAGGGAGGCAAATTCCAAGCTCTGAGGGATTGTGGTTCTCTGTGCAAGTCTCAAGTTCTTTCTCTTACTGATCCATCTCCTCCTCCCAAGCAGCAGGATTCAAAGAGAGGCATTAAACTTAGGAAATCTGGCCTGGTCTTTTACATAGGAATTTTGCAATCACAGCACAAAATCCATACTTAAGTCCGTGGGTTGCATAATCCTACTTTATAGTATCTGCCACGCAACATTGTTTCATCTAAACTATTTAATGAATTGAGGGCGGTTTCATCAGACGTGGATTGCAAAATTTCAGATGATCAGAAGGCATGCAATAAAGAGTTGGCAGTTTCTGTGTCTTTTGATGATCGACTAGACCTCCATGGAGTGAGGGTGGAGGTTCATCCTCCAAGCTTGTAGGTTGGTTTCTGAATATTTTGTTCCCAGGCTAGGTAACATCTTCAGAGGAATATAGGGATGTCATTGTTGGTGTTCTTCTACTTATAAGGGCTTCTGTGGTGAGTAGGTCTTGTGATGGGGAGATCACGTCAGGTGAGAGTCTTGTGATGGATCAGAAGCTACAGGTATTCACTCTATGAAATGCCCAAATCCAAAAATGACTCCTCAGCAAAGGGCCTGGGTACTTTCCCTCCCGCTCTCTGCCCTCTGCCTCAGCCCTCCATTTTCCCCTAATTTATTCTTTCCTTACCTGCTCTAGGGCTGTTTTCCCTCTTTCTTTCTTTCTTTCCTGAAGAGTTGAGCACCCTAGTAGAGCACCAATGGGGCTCGGCATGTTGATTTCACCAGAATGGTCCTGGGTCCCCCTTGTCTTTGCTTTGTGCCAGGAATAAGGGATGCTTCCTCAAAAACATCCCCTTATCTCTCGGGATGTGGTTTGGCAAATTAAAAAAAAAAGTTGTGATGCCAACATCAACTGGGGCCCCCCCTATAACTGTGCAACCTGAGATCTGCATCTGAGCAGCTAACGACCGGGAAGTTTTGCTAGCAGTTTTTAAAAACGTTTTTTCTTCAATTTTTGTCTTATATAAACCACGGGTGATATTTTTAACACCAACAGTTGCACATTGTCTTTTCAGAGCAAATGAGGCGATACGCATTGACCCTCTGACACAATGCAGGAGTTGTGTGAAACGACCCTTGGTCTCATGGAATGAGGTAATTAAGGGTTATGTCGTATATCTAAACTGGAGCTGTCACTTCTTGCAAAGGAAAAAAAAAGGGGGGGGGAAGCAGCCATTTGTTTGGGAGGCTTCATGATTTAAAGCAAAGCAGAGTTAAAATAAAATGTTACATTCAGAAAACCGATGTTTTTTTGTGCGTATGAGTGTATAAATATATTCAGCTGAGCCTCTTTCAAATAAGCCAAATCTAAGCTCTATTTCCCAATCACGGGCATAAACTTTTCAATTTCCTGGAAGGGGAGCAAAGGCAGAGTGCAGTTGAATAACAGGTGTCAAAAAAACATTTCATAGGTTTTCATGAAAATTCAAAATAATAGAAAAGGTAAATCAGTCATTTTAGTGGTTTTATTTGTATGTTGGTTTGATTGTACCCCGCCTTTATTATTTTTGCAAATAAGGTGGCAAACTTATCCAATGTACTTTCCTCTTCCTCCTCCTCCCTCCCCCAGAACAACCCTGTGAGGTGGGTTGGGCCAAGAGAGAGTGACTGGCCAAAGTCACCTGGGTACCCTTCATAGCCAAAGAGGACTAGAATTCACAATCTCCTGGTTTCTAACCTGGTGTCTTAATCACTAGGTCAAACTGGCTCTTGGAGAGTTGAAGGACACATCATCTGAATGAAACAAGGATGCCTTAGTGCAAGGCTGTCAAACTCCTGGCCCGCGGGCCAGATGCGTCACGCACTGGCCACACCCATGCCCGGTTTAGCAAAGGGGGGGAAAGCCCCAATATGTAATGTGACACCACTGTGACGTCAGTTTGACACCCCTGCCTTGGTGGGATATGGTTTGCTGAGCTGGTGCTTGCAGACGTTTGATGACCCTTAGCTGGTTTAGCAGCCCTTCTTCCCTGCTTCCCTGAAGTGCTCATCCATGTTCCCAGTAGTCCAAGGCTTAGCAGGTCTGCTGTGATGCTATCTATCCCATTATTCTTGGAACCATCTTGTTCGGAATACAATCTAATGTCACCCTGCATAATTATTATCCTAGATGTATTTGGTCTGAGGGAAAAAAATGTCTCAAGAGTCTTATATTTCATGCCTTTTCGATTCCACTAGTTGAAAACTACTACTTCTTTTAGATCCCATGTCTTCTGGAATTATTATGCACAACGATCTTCTATTAATGGTTGGAATAAGCCTCTGCAAATCATCCCACAAGCTGCTTTCCAAGCAATTATTCCAGGGGAAATGTCACCTATGAAGCCTCCCAACAGGTCAAGCCACTGCTTTGCAGCTTTCAAGAACTGCATCCGAAATCATTTTGCTGAAAGACTGCACAGACCTGCTGCCGAACTATTGTTTATTTGTTTATTAAATTTACATGCCGCCCATCTCACTATCCAAAGTGACTTACAATGCCATGAAAGCATATAGATATGGTTATTTACAAATAAATATAATTCTCAGCAAGGTTAGAAAACTGCATCTGATGTACTGAAAAGTTGAGGACTATAACGTACAAAGCAACTGAGAAACAAATAGCAGTCCCAAGAAAACTCATAATGTACCCAAGAGTAGGAAGCCTCTTCATTCACTAGCCATGAAGCAGAAATGGGATGAAAAATTCCTTTGTCAAAGGGATGGGGAATTTATGGCTCTCCAAATGTTGCTGAATTACAAGTTAGCTATGCTGATTTGAATTAGTTCACCATTATCAAAAAGATCCAGGTTCCTCAATCTTGGGTTATGAGCTGATCACAGTAGAGAAATATGCAAAGCACAGTATGATTAATTAAACACAAGGACACCATTAAGAGCCAAAAAAGTTGGAAAGTGTCTTCAAGACAGCACAAATTTGTATTCCCATCCAAAGTTGCATACCTTATTACCTAGGAGCATGATAACCACATCCTTTTGGGCATATTCATGGATTTCTGTGAGCCAAGCCTGCAAGGGAATGTTGAATGTGATGAGATGAAACATAGCTGAGAAGAAACATCAAACATCAAGACTTGACTGAGCTCACTCATACTGTCCTGCCACCTTGGTGCTTGTTTGCCTTTGGCACACAGCAATTGTATCAGCTTGGCCATTGTGATTTGTAAATCTTGGCCTATGTTTTACTGTGTGGTATGAACCTGATCAGATATGTGGGTTTGCTCAGTGTAGCACAATTAAGCAATTCATAGTTTAGTGCAATTTTTGGAACCAGCCACTGAATTCCATGAGCTCTCAGCATTTAAGCAGAGAAGAGATAGGACAGGCCCTCTTGCTCTGATAAGAAATAGCTCAAATAATCCTCAGGATGGGTATCCTTGAAGTTCCAATGAAGACCTCTTAGTCTCACACCGTTTGGGGTACTGTCCCTTTTGGCAATTGAGCCAGTTTTGCATCAAGTATGCTGGGGCTTGGGAGGGGGCAGTTCCCCATTGGAAGGAACTTTAAAATTACATCCATTTCCCAGACTTCCCATAGCTCCCACAGAGCTTAACGTATCAGTGTGCCATACTGCCCTTTCGGCTGTCTACTTGGCCAAGGAGGCAGACATTTCACAGGTCTCCTACCCAGTAACTAGACTCATTTTCCAAAATATCACTCAGCCTAAAGTAGGGCAAGGATCAGAAACAGAATCCTATCTGGACACCCATTTTTTTGTAATCTCCTTAGCAGTCAGCTGTTGACTACTTAGCATTTTGTGCATGCTGGCTATTAGAATTGCAAAGTATCTCAAACATCATTCTGAAGGTTTGGAGCAGGAATGGGGTAGCTACATGGAAGCACCCATATTCCTGACAACTAATTGCAAATATGAAATGTATGGTTTCTCTTTTTGTTTTTAGCCTGATTTTCCCTTTTCTTCTTCATCTGCCTTCTGACAACTTGCAGTCTGCTATTTCTTTGGGGCAGAGATGTTTTCTCTTTGTGAAGTGTGAAGCACAGAGATATAGCACATATTTCTAGGCCAAGTAAAGTTTATATCATACGGTAAAAAGCTAAAAGTTTCACCTGTCCAGTTGTATCTGACTCTAAGCTCATCTCCTTTTCTTAGCTAGGAGTGCCAGCATTCTCTGAAGATATTTCCGTGATCATGTGGCCAGCATGACTATATGCTGAAGCACATGGAACAGTGTTACCTTCCCACTAAAGTGGCACCTATTTCTCTAGTCACATTTGAATGCTCTTGAACTGCTAGGTTGGCAGGAGCTGGAGCAAGTAATGGGAGCTCACTCCATCATACATGGCTTTTCAAGGGCAGGTGATCCTTTTTGTCTCTTTGCTGATTCCTGTACAACCCAGTGCATTTAGACACTGAGACACAAGAACATCTCAGTCAAACTGGGATATATTTACTAATCAGATTACAACTTTAGTTTGCTATTTGACTCCTGTGTGAGCAAAGGCTGGGAGACCATCTTGAATCAACATAGGCATGGTATACCCACCCGAATACTGTCAAAGGAGACTTTGTTGGTGATATCGTAAAGGAGGAGGAGAGCTGCAAAAAAAGGAGGAATATGTGTTATTTGATGATTTTGTAATTTTCTAAAATTACATGAGGTCACACAGAACAATTCAAACTATGAATTCCTTTATCCTGAACTTCGATTATCTAAAACTGTTGACAATCTCAATCCACAGGCACATCCCCATCCTTCCTCAACATAATCTATTTGATGGAAAACCATGGGGTTTAAAATCTAATATTGTCTATACACAAGTCATAGCTATACCAGCCATTCTCAACGTAGTGCCTGGATTTCAATTGTCATGCATTTCAAAGAAGATACAAAGATTAATGGAGAGATGAGCTATGTCATAAATGTAGTAGGATGCAGACGAAACAGAAAATATCTTGAGCTTGATACAAAATAATCCACTTAAAGCATTCCGATGAAATACTCAAAGTAGGTTTGTTCTTGCTCTTAACAACCCCCCCCCCCTCACACACACACATAGACACACACACACACACACACTGTTTTAAACTTGGAACACTCTAAAGGCCTTTTCGAACTCAAAATATTGCACACTGCTAATACCTCAGGCAATATAGTTCTATATATCAAACAGTGGCATTATCACTTGGTGTTAGATCTGAACAATGAAAGATCTACTCCGCTTATCACCCCAACTCTGATTCAATCTGAGATGAAGGAAGGCAGCATTCTAGAGGACCAACCTTGTGCATCACGATAGTATGCATGTGTTACACTCCGGAACCTTTCCTGACCAGCTGTGTCCCAAATCTGCAATAAGGCAAAGACAGAAAACCAAGGAAACAGTCTTTACTGTATTTCATTAGAGAGGCCCAGATGTGAAACAAATATTACTGCAACTAAAATTCACAGACAGTATGTGCAAAATGATATTCTTGGATAGTTCTCTGAATTATGTCTATTAGAATCAAGATACTTCTTCCAAACATAAGAGAATAAAAATGAACTATGTGGTAGCATTACAGAATTCAGTTCAGCATATGGAAGTGATAATGTAAACGTAAAAGACTTAAATACAACTATCTCATGAATCCCCCAGGATTTCTTTTTGATCCAGAAATTTGCAAATAAATAACTCTCATATTCTCAGATCCACCAGTACCAATATATAAAATGGTTCATATACATCAGAGCTATCAAACTTGAATTCATTGAGGGCTACATCAGTGAGGACTGGGGTGTGTGACCAGTGTGGGCATGACCAGCTCAACATCACTCCAGCGGTCTAGTTTCTATTAAATTACATCCCCGATGGGATTCAGGAAGTAAGCTTTTTTCAGATTTTTTTCAGAATTTCTGCATTTGTTTTGTTCCAAAATGTACAGTGCATTGTTCTTATTTTGATTTCTATTGTTTTTAATGATGTACATTGCCCCAGAATCTTCTGGCATTGGGCAATCCTATAAATGTTAAAAAATATTTAAGTAAATCTCATGAATAATAGGTTGGTTATCTGATAAAAAGAAAGATAAACATCAACTGAATGATGAGGAAGAGACCGCACAAGAGGTAAAACAAAATCATATATATTACCTCTATAAAAACACAATCTTGTATAGGGAAATTTTCACACAATTTGAGTACATCTATAAGCTGGTAGCAACCCTCCCTCCCAAAAAAACAAACGAACAAACAAGGTGCTGAGAGAACAGCTACCAACTAATTTCAAGGGCTCTTGGATGACACGAATTTCCTGTTTCCATTTTAATTTGGATTCAGGGCTGATTTTGCCACATGGGATTAGCAAAGAGCCGATACAGAGAATGCTTTGTTGGAAAGCAGGATTTCTTTGGAAGTAAGCCACATCTATGGCTTTTACTTCCACATGCCTAGGGGAAATGTAATTGCTGAAGCCTTGAATGGAGAAAAAATGGCTTGTCTCACTGTAACTGAATATATAGGAGGCCTTTTTCAGAATAGAAAAAAAAAAACCAGAGCCAAGTGTACCTAGTTAGAGGACTTCACAGGAAATGCAACTTTGGTGTATCAATCAGACCTACCTGGAGTTTCACTTTTACATCATCCACTGTTACCACTTTATTCTGTAAGGAACAAAAAGACCCCACATTTATATAGAGCAAATTAACAAGAAAAAGCTTTCAGTTTTTTAGATCACCTGGAAGAAAACAAGCAACTAAGGTCCTTTCTCATGATTTTCTATAACTTCCAGTTTAAAATTCCATGGAACAATCACTAATAGCTAGAAGGTAATAAGCTTCACGCATGTCCTAAAGGTGCTTTTCCCCCCCCAAGAGGTAACTGGACTTTCTGGTTTTTCTTTGAAGGTGTTTTGCTTATCATCCAAGAAGCTTCTTCAAAGAAAAACCAAGAAAGTCCAGTTACCTCTTGGAAAAAAAAGCACCTTTGGGACAACAATGACCTGGATGACTGAGAATCTCCATAGAGATTAAGCTGCATGCATATTGCTGACATAACTGGTACACTGAGATTTTAGGTAAGACTGTAAGCAACATATCTGAACAAATATTATACATTTAGTTGTCGCTCTTTGCCTGCAATTTGGGGATCAGAAGTATCATATTTACTGGGATTGCATGCAAAGCAACCCTATCAGCTAAGCCAATGCTTGTTCAGCTGATTGTCAGCAATTGTTAGTACAACTAAAATGCCTTAAATTTCTTCCACGTATTATATTTTGTCAAAGTAATGATGACTGCATTAATAGCAAATAATATTTTATAGATTATCAAGTGCTGCACAGATTCATTGTTCATTTTTTTCATCATTCACCACACAAAGAAATTAGCACAACTTTGGGTACTACATTTGTGGCAACTTAGATGTACAAATATTCATGGATCAATGGAATATGATGTGTAAACGCTTGTACAATTACATCTTAAAGGACCAAAAGTGTTTTTTTGCTGCACTAAACCAACGTAGTTATCATTTTAAAAACAGAGAGACAAAATAGTCAGTTGGATAGAGTAGGCAACAATGTATTTTGCTATGAAATCCACAATCAAAACATTGCACTATATAAACAGCGACAAGGGAGATGCATCTTCCTTTGTAAATTCTCACTACTGTATTCAAGGGATTGTGTTCCCCAGGCCATACTAGTCAGATAGTGATTACAATATAGAGGCCAAGGCTCCACAAGTTATTTAGAACAAGTGGAACACACAGTAAATAACAAATGTGGTCCAGGAAGACCATGAGAAATGCTGAATAATGGAACCCACTGAAGAACTTTGGACCACATCACTTTCTCTCAGCCTAATGCAGCTCATAAGATTATTATTTAGGAAATAAAATGATTATTGCCACATCATCTGTCTCAAGCTCCAAAAGGACTGGGATACAAATGCTCATCATCACATTCATTCATCATTCATCCACCCACTGTTATTCCCTCTTCTTTAACCATTTCACCCTATATGCTTTGCAAAGTTTTCAGAGCAGTTGAAGCAGACGCCTAGTTTGCAAGTCTCGTGTGGCTGTTTCAAAAACTTCCCCTAGGTCTTTTTCCACATGACCGTGGAGCCACTGTGCTTTAAAAAAATTCAAGGAGAAGTGCTTCAAAATGCCTAGGAACACAAAAGGTTCTGTATACCACATTCTTTATACTCTGGAGCAACTACGGAGAAAAAAAATGGAACGGTATTAAAAAAAAAGTAAAAAAGGAATATAGTGAGCCTTCATCTCCCACCCATCAATCCTCCCTACAATGGCTTCCTCTCCTGGCACTTAGGATTACAAGGCAAGGATGGAGCAAGCAGCTTTGTCCTTAAATAGACAAGACACTCATGGTTATACTAGTGTGAGGTTTTTTTTGTATGAGAATGGCAGGCTACTGCAATATGTTGATGAGTTAGGGGGAATCCTAACAGCATAGGGCCCAGCAGGATAGCAGCACCAGCCATGGCTGATATCAAGACGCTAAGGCAAGCCTGGTTAGTATTTAGAATGGGTGACCATTAGGAAGATCCTATAGGCTACACTGTGAAGTGGGAAAAACACTCTGGAAGAAGGCAGAGGAAAACCACTTCTGTACTTCAGGTGACATGCCTGCAGTCACCAGAAGTCCAGCTCAACTTGAGGAAGACTTTAGTTTTTCAACATGAAGATATGGGGATGCTATATGGGAAACAGGAGGAAGAGCCACAGCTTAGACCACGAGTATCATACTTACCATGTCACGTTGGCGTCACGTGACCTTTCGCAACGTTTTTCTCCTTCACAGAGCTGGGGTGGGCATGGCCCGCACTTGGTGTATCTGGCCTGAGCTGCCAGTTTGACACCCCTGGCCTTAGACAATAGTCATGCAAAAGATATCTCAACCCACAAAAGGAAAGGGGGCATGGGAACTATGTCAGAAGGAGCCCTTCCTAGTTTGGGGGAAAATAAAAGTACAGAAGAGCAGAAATTCTTTCAAACTTGCAAGATTCTGCTATTATAACTTAACAATAAAGTTAGCATTACTACTCATGGTTTGTGCTTCTGTCTGGACAACCTCAAAGGGCTGTCGCACATCTCACTATAATGAACGTAGAATATAGCTACCTAATATAATTTAGGGAGGAAAATAATGTGTTCTGTATGAATTTGATATGATATGGAAAAGTTTGATGAGATTCAGCGCAATCAGAGCTTAAACATTATTTTGGAGCACAAAGAAGAACAGCTTAGAGGCACCTCCACAAATTACTTGTTGCTTTGCTTTAAAATGCCCAGTAATATCCCACAATATTATACGTTATTACAACATTCTTCTTAAACTATTATGAACAATTTCCTAGGACCAGTTACTCTTTCCCAATAGTCTATTCTACATGAATTGGAGCTATCATTGGCCATATAAACTGGGAATTCTAGAACTTACCCATTTGGAGGAAGTCAGCTTAATCTAGATTGTCCACATAGTCAATATTATGAACAAATAGGTGGTTTTGATTAGTCTCAGAAAACTAAGCGTGAGAAAGACAGTACATGCCACAAATTACCTAGTTGTAACATATAATTCAGTACCATTTTTTCTCTATAATTCATCAAACAAAAATGTTATTTATCGCTGTACACTATCTGACATTCCATTGTGAGTTTATCATGTTTCCTACATATTGAGATAATGTTAATTGACTATATTTATCACTTACATAACAAAGAGATGCATACTAATCCTTGGAAAAAGATACCCAAGTTATGCATAAAGTATATTTTAGAGATATTTTAAAACACAACAATTAACCAGACTGTTACCATTCTGTTACCATTCTGTTAGTTTCTATTTTGAACCAAGAGCTTTGATCAAAACATTCCAGTGTTGAGTTATCATTGGTTTAGTTGCCAAAAGGAAGAAGCTGAATGCAGTATTCCAAGTGTGGCCTTACCAAGGATGATAGAAACTTTCCCTCTAGGACTGCCAGCAGCTCTGAAAATGTGTGTGTGTGTGTGCGTATGCGTGTGCGTGTAAACGGAAGAGGAAGAGAGGACAGAATAATGGAATCACACGGCAGAGAGGTGTTCTATTCCAAACGCTGCCCAAGCCAGGAGCTCTTATACCAGTGGTCCCCGACCTTTCCGGCTTTGCGGACCATTAGGGATGGGTGGGGAGAGGGGATTTTTCAGTGTGAGCAAAAGGCGAGCATGTGCATGCCGCTCCATTTGCACGAGTGGCAGGCACACGCACTTGCCAGCTGCTCAAATGGAGCTTCATACATGCGTTCACTCTCTGCTCGCACAAACGGGGCTATGCATGGATGCGCATGCTCGCCTGTGGCTTCCACGGGCAGGTTCCAAATGGGCCACAGCCTGGTACTGGGCTGCAGCCTGGGAGTTGGGGACCCCTGCCTTACACCATCCCAGACAAATGGCTGTCCTATCATTTCTTGAAACCTCCAGTGATGGAACACCCACAACTCTGAGAGGCTATTGATAGATTGCACGAAAGACCATTTGGGTTTTTTGTTTTACTACAGCCACAGCAGATAGGAATAGGATGAGGCCCCTGGGTCTCCACATACTGGACTCCTGATCCAGCTACTGAAAGATCAAAACCAGGCATGACAAATGATTGCATCCATGTGATGTTCTTCAGCTTGTATTGTGCTTAGCTCAGAGGTCTACTGCAAGATTTCCAACACACTTCTCTGCTGTGGCAAACTATCTCCAGCATTAACAGTGGCCTCACCCGGAAGTCTATCCCGACAGTAGCTATGAAGGTCCCAGAGAGGAAGGCTCCATCTTTGAACTGGACAAGGAAGCAGGTCTTTCCCACACCTGAATCTCCAAGCAGCATCACCTACAAGATGAGGTGCAAAAGCCCATTAATATGGCTGGTTGGGGTTATACTGACATTCATGGGGGTGTGGGGGGGTTTGCCTCATGTTTTCTTATTAAAGAAGTCTCTCTCTCTCTCTCTCCTGTCAACAGTGATCTAATTTAGCAAGCAGAACTACCAGTCTATAAAGAGAAGAACAAACAAATAGCAATATCTCATCTTCATCTTACTTTAGCCATTGTGACCGGGAGTCATTCATTGTCTGCTCCACTATAACCGCCTTATTCTATCAACGCTGGTGGTAACTCAAGGTGGATAACTTAACAGAAAATCAGGAACCTGACAGCACTTTTTCAGATTAATAAATATTATTAAAAACCTTACATTTTCATAAAAATCCCTGATTTTTTGCCACTATAGAACAGTGTTTCTCAACTGTGGCAACTTTAAGATGCGTAGACTTGTTACATTGGCTGGGAAATCTGGGAATTGAAGTCCCCAATTTGCCAAGGTAGAGAAACGCTGCCACAGACTTAACAAGGCGTATAATTATTTTTTTGAAAAATGCTTTAGATCTCCTTTAAGCACAGCTCCTCTCTTCAACTAATCGAAGTACCTCAACTTTTTTCAGGGTTCTATGTGAGCCTGAAAGAAAAGATGCCACATCTTTAAGAAGCCAACTTCTTAATGCAACTCACTGCATTGAGATTATTTTGTTCAGATTTGCAGAAGAGTAAAAAAGTTGGACTGTTGTGATAAATAGCAGAATAGTCTTGTGCATGCATGAAGTCCACAGCAATACTTGGGAAATCATCTTTAAAGTGGGCACCCCTTTCTGCTTATCACCCTCTTTAGTTACAGCAAACTTACAAGGACAGTGTTAGGACAAACTCCCCACCACCACCACCACCACCAATGTTCTCCTGAGATGCTGAAGGCACCACTTGGTTGGGAATTGTGGTAATTTAAATTAAACAAATCTGGACATCACCAAATTGAAAAAGGGTGTTTTAAAATGTTTCCAAATGGAGGGTATTTTGCTAACCTTTCAGGAAGGTTTAGCTCAAGGATAACCATCCATGATCTCCCTTTCTATTCCCACCTCTGTGTCCTGGCAAAATAAATTCCTATGCTTTCATCTCTCTCTAGTGTATGCTAAAGCAATGGTGGAAAGGAACTCCAGAATATACCGTAGTTGTTTGCTTGGTGGGAAATGATTGGCAAGTCTTCCTTCCTATTGTGCTCCCTCAAGAGATGTTCTCCCACGATAGGTGAACATTTTTGAGGGATATCCATCCACCATCCTGATTCTCAGAAAGAGTTTGGAGTTCATTTCTGAGCTGGCTCCACACTCCTTTCTCCGGAATGATGAAAGGTTAACTCTCCATAACTTCTTGTCCTTATTTTCATCATTACTAAAAGCACATCTTCCTTGTCAGTGTTTCCTCTCTTCCGCACAAAAGATAAGGAGATCAGCTTGTAGCTACTCTATGTACCAGCTGCTGTTTCCAATGCAAACAAACAATCCATTTATATTTACACTTCATGCCATATGCTCCAACTTCTGCCTTTGCTTAGCCTTCTAGCTAGGCTACTCTGGACAAATTTCATCTCTGGAAGCACAGGAGCCATATGCCTTGTTCAAGGACTTAAGTATCTTCCTGAAATGTCAGGGCAGCTGTCTATGGGGTAATGAAGTACAATCTTGGCAATTTTTAGATGTGCAGACTTCAATTCCCATAATTCCCCAGCCAGCTGAGAAGCCACTGAGCTAGTATGACAGGACCTAAATCTTCTGATTGCTACTGAGTTATTGCTCCTCAATTTAGGAATTATATTACAGTTCCTTACTTAGGATTTATTCCAGTTTAAGGGACCTTCTGTAGAGCCTACAAGAGCTTTTTGGCTCCATTTATGGGAGTCCTGCCTTCTGCTGCCTCGGGCCCTCTTCAGTTGTCACTGCCAGCATGACTATGTTCACTCAAGACAGTTAGAATATCATCCTATCTGTGCTCTTATCTGGGAATAAGTTTCTTCACTAAAACTACTTTCACAGAAACATGTACAGGATCAGTAGTTTTATGCACTGAAACGTACTGTGGAGAGGTCACCCAATGCTCTGGGAAGCCCTTGTGAGGGGTCAGAAACCCAGCTAAGAGGGAGCTACAATCCTCATCTTTGCCCTACGCAAGGGAGTAGTCCATTAGCTAATGTTACCTCAGCCTAATCCAAATATTCTACTAATCCTCCAACTAATCCTCAAAAGGCACAGTTCAAACCCAGCCTCTTTCTTCACACTCCCTGGAACCAGATTTGTCATTGATCTATGATGTTATATAGACAAAGGGTGGAGAAAGAAGGAACTGTTTGTTGCTAATACACTTGATTAAATCTGAAGTATATTTCTAACAACCAGTTCTTTCCTTCACGGGCGTTTGTCTATTTCCTTCGATGTCACTGTGACCATAAGCACACAGAGTCCATGAGTTAGATCAGGAGTGAGGAATCTTGGCCCTTTTATGACTTGTGGACTTCAACTCCCAGAATTTCTGAACCAGCCTTGTTGGGTCAGGAATTCTGAGAGTTGAAGTCCACAAGTCATAAAAGGACCAAGGTAACCCATCCCTCAAGACCTGACAGGTACCATTATAACCCATGCCAAGTATCAGGAGAAGATCCGTAAGCTCTGGGGCTCCCTTCCTTTCTTGCCGCTGCCTCACCTCTGTCGCAAGACAGCAGAGTAAATAGGTAAGCCAGTATCCACTCCTTCTAAGCAAACAGACTTTCAGTTTAAAAGCCACAGCTTGGTTGGATTCCCTATTTACCTCAGGCAATGAAAAGCAATAACTGAGGCTATTCTGATTAGTTAGAAAGAAATTGCCATATAGCATCTTAAGGGTTGATTGTGGTGTAAGATTTTGTGGCCATTGTCATTTAAGGTGTTCTGGTCCACAAAAGGGAGAACACGTGAGCGCCTGCACGCACGCACACACACACTTTCTCGCCTTTCTGGAATTTATCCCTGTGAGAAATGTAGATTAGCCAGCATTTGTCCTCCTACAAAAAATGAGCCCACCCAGCTCAGAGATAAAAGCAATCATTAGGGGAAAATCCATCAACACCCCTGACAGAACAACAAACACTGGACTCTTAGCAGTCCAGACTTGAAAAGTAGTTCTTCAAAGAAAAGGAAACAAACTAAGGAAAGAAGGCAAACATGTGTTGCAAGACCAAATCTGGGTCGGACACTGGGACCAGAGGCTTAGTCTTCTGAGCTTTCAAACTCAGGCTGGAATCCATCCTCAAGGAACTTCTCTCTCACACATCTGGTGTGAGAGAAGAGGATGGGCTTCAGCAGGACTCCGAAACTTCAGAAGACTAAACCTCTGTTCCCAGTGACCAACCCAGATTGGATCCTGAAACGAAGTAAATTTAGATTCAGGACAAGGAACATCTGTGAAGTAATGGTTTGCCCTTCACCTTAGGAAATCTGCTACCCAGCTCTCCTGAACTGCTGTTCTTCAACCGGAGACAGCAGTATTTCCCAGAGAGCTGAAACTTACTTCTCCTATTTCTAAAGGGGGAAAAAAAAACACTTGATATGCCAATGTCATCTTCCAGGAACTGCAACTTGCCAAACCCTCAGCCAGCCTTTGGGCACACAAATTGAAAAAAGTGGGAAGCTGCAACACACCCCAACTGAAAAGAACCAAGTTTGGGAAAGCTGCTGCCACTGCTTTCACTTTAAGAAAGAGGAAGAGAAAATGTCCTCTCTCTGCATTTTTGTATGGAGGGAATGTTGGTTTAATAGAATGCAGAAGTCCTAGAACAGGGACTCATGCAGGGAAGAACCATGTAGATTTTCCTGCCTGAGGCAGCTCTTTCAATGTATCTGAAGTTGTAATCCATGTGAGTTGTAGTCCACTTGTCCCAAAAACTGCCATGCAGGGGAAGGAAGATAGAACAGGCCAGGAATGTTGGCTGTGACCGAATGGCTCAGGACCCAGAACCAATTTGCAAAGTCTCTTTGATTGTTGTGTTACTCCTTCTCAGGGTGTGTCAGGAAAAGGGAGAAGCCGCGGCAGTTCCAGACTCCAGTGGACTGGAGAACAAAGGACCACCAATGAAAAGAACAATTGACAGCTACATTACAGTAACTGGGAGACAGCAGGGATCTCTGGGTGGAGACCTGCTATTATCCTTTTCGAGGATCTCTTCCCAGAAGGAATCTGGAAGTGGACTTACGGAGTAAGCGGCATTAAACAGGGGTTTTTGGATGTAAGGTTGCAAGAGATCTGGTAGACAAAATGTTTTCTTTCACTTCCAAGCCCAGCACCCTGATTCCTATCGGCAAAAATATAGGGCCAATCTATAACCTTGCCTTAGTACAGATACTCCTCAACTTACAACCATTCATTCAGTGACCGTTCAAAGTTTAAAAAGTGACTTATGACATAGGTTTTTCCACAGTTCTCCATGGTCATGTGATCAAAATTTGGATGCTTGGCAAATGCCATGTATTATGACGGTGGCCGTGAGACCTTCTGACAAGCAAAATCGATGGAGAAGCCAGTTTCACTTAACAACAGTGTTACTAACTTAACAATGGCAGTGATTCACTTAACAACTGTGGCAAGAAAGGTCATACAATGAGGCAAAACTTACTTCACAACTGTTTTGCTTAGCAACAGAAACTTTGGGCTCAACTGTGGTTGTAAGTTGAGGACTATATGCAATATGAACTCTCCTATAATTTGTAAAATAGTTATGGCTTAGCATGTAATATATCTCCAGCCAATTGTGGCTCATACACTAAGCTATTTATTAAATCAACCATGGCTTAGGCCAGGGGCGTCAAACTCACGTTGTCATTGTGGTGTCATGTGATGTACCGGTACTTTCCCCCCTTCGCTAAACTGGGTGTGGGTGTGGCCAGCACATGATGCATCCAGCCTGCAGGCCGGTGAGTTTGACAGCCCTGGCTTAGGGTGCCATGAGAGCCAAGTCATTAGCAGAGGAAGAAGATGAATGTTCTGTCTTCATTGCAATTAAATATCCTTCATGCCCTCAAGACTCTACTTTCACTAGGAAGTGGTGAGGCAGTGGGTTCAAGCCTTTGCTACCCCAAAGCATAAAATATATGCTTAGCCAGGCATTTTTTTCCCCCTCCAAATGAAGGCCAGCACAGGACCTTCGTTCTACGGGGAACAAAATCAGTAACGGCAAGGAAAGGTACTAGTTATTGTGTGCAGATAATTTGAGTTGTTCTTGAGTGTGTCCCTTGTGCCATTTGGGGCAGTGGTTTTATATCATGGGACAGCCAACAATGTTTTAAGTTTCCAATGCGATTATGGAGCGATCCTTCCTTCAAGAGAAAGTTTCACTTGATTTCTGTTGTATTTTGGCTTGTCATGCATACAGGTAGTCCTTGACTTACGACAACTGAGCCCAGCCTTTATGTTGCCAAGTCAGAAATTTGTTAAATGGCTTTTGCCCCATTTTACGACTTTTCTTGCCACATTCGTTAAGTGAATCACTGCAGTTCTTAAGTTAGTAACCTGGTTGTTAAGTGAACGTGGCTTCCCCATTGACTTTGCTTGTCAGAGGGTCACAAGACCCCGGAACACTGCAACCGTCATAAATATGAGCCATTTGCCAAGCACCCGAATGTAAATCACGTGACCATGGAGATGCTGCTGCAACGGTCATAAAGTATGAAAAATTGGTCATAAGTCACTTTTTTCAGTGCCATTGTAACATTGGTCACTAAATGAACTGTTGTAAGTCGAGGACTACCTGTATTTCTATTGATTAGAATACCGATCTACTGTCCAACTCCGATGGAAACACGGATATCAGCACTGGAATCCCATGCTGCATTATAATTCCTCATGTATGGGAAACCCAAGGATACTTAAGATATATTCACAGCACTGCTTTGCTAGCTGTAGTAACACTTCTTCAGCTGCCTTCTTGTGGCAAGCTGGTTCTTTATGCCACACCAAGCAGGCAGTTTTGCACGGACCAACACGGAGGAGGCTTATGATGGCCCAAAGGAACACAGGATGCAAATGAAATAAAGAACTGGCAATGTCAACAGAGGAACACTGTATCTGCCGGTCCCCAGTAGTGCTCTTCCTGCTTTCTGCAGCATGATTGCTGGAAACTCCTATCCCAGCTGAGGAGATCTGTGTGCAAGCTCTGAGTGTGAGGCAGTGCACTTCGCTGCCTTGCCAAAACCCTTCCCCCATCCTGGCTTGCCTTCTGAGATGCGCCTTCTTCCCCGCTTTAGCTGCTTCCTCCCAATGTGGTTTGAATAGCAACAGCTACAGCTGCTGCTGCAAAGAAGAAGGAGAAGAACAGTGCAACGCTTGTTTTATTGGCCATGGATTTTAACAAGGGGTTTTGCTAAAGAGGAACCAACCTCTGCAATCATCCCGCACCTCTAAAGCATTCGGGTGCTTTAGAGACAGGCCTTGACTTACAGCACTTCATTTAGTGACCGTTCAAAGTTGCCACATGGCACTGAACAAAACGGACTTAGAACCTTTTCACCCTCAGGACCCTTGAAGGAACCCCGTGGTCACGTGATCAAATTTTAGCAAGGGACTCATATTTATGATGGCTGCTATAACCAGGGATCGTGTGATCGCCTTGTGAGACCTTCCGACAAGCAAAGTCAACGGGGAAGCCACATTCACTTAACAACCGGGTCACTAAATGAACAGCTGCGGCAACTCACTTAATGGCTGAAAGGTGGCAAAGTGGGGCAAAACCCGCTGAGCAGCTGTCTTGCTTAGCAACAGAAATGTCGGGCCCGACTGTGGCCGTGAGTGGAGGACTACCTGCATTGTCTACGGAGGCAGAGCTCGACCTGCAAATGAGACTGGTACAGTTGCAACCAGGAATTAACCGGGACTCAGAAAAGAGGCCATTTTCAGGGCCATAGAGGCTTCCGCCCTTTGAGGGGTAGATTTATAAGCCCGTGAATGACAGGAAAAAACATATTCAGCAAGCTGCATTGCTCCTGGCCGTGCTCTTCCCCATCTAAAGAAACGACCTGTTGAATTTCTGCCCACTAGGCATCTGTTAAGGGTGTAGGAACACAATTGCCTGTTGGTAAGAATGGCAAATACTAAAACCATAATTCAGTCTTCAAACACGAAGGAAAGAAAAAAAACGGCCTTGGTCTTTTTTTCCCCTCACACACACATATAACCATCCGAAAGAGACTTTCCAAGCAGACCTGAGCCCCACCCTCGTTTCCCTCTCCCCCACTACCCCGCCGCCAAAATTAGGCCGGCTAATTTGCCCCTTTTCTTGTTTCTTGGTCGTCTTTATCGAGAACCAAGTTCGTGGGCGAAGTTGAACCCTTTTGGAGCCGTTGGGTGAGGGAGCCAGCAAGGAGAGCGCGAAAGGGGGAGGGGTATCACTCCTCCTCCCCTCCCGCGCCCGCTTCTTCTCCAAGAGAATTTGGGGAAAGGGGAGCGGGTTTAGACCCATCGGCCTTATTTGCCCGCCTTGCCTTAGCCCGCGACGACAGCCACGAAGGTTTCCCCCACCCTCCACGCTCCCTGCCCTCTCTTGTGCCCCCTGGTGCCCAATCGGGGCAGGCCCACACCTTGCCGGAGACGTCGTAACTCTTGCCGAGCAACAAGGGCTTCACCGCCGGCGGAAGGGCGCCGGGGGCTCCGTTGCGCGCCGGAACGGCGCCCTCATTGCCTGCTCCGTTGCTGGTCATGGTGGCTCCCGCGCAGGGAGCAGGAACTGCCCGGGTAGTTTCGAGAGCTCCGGCCACGCTGCTTCGGCCCCCCCTCCTCCTCCTGCCCACGCGCGGAACCGCCCCTTTCTGGCGCTCAGGAAGGGAGAGAGAGAGAGAGAGAGAGACCGAGCGGTCGGCCAGGGCCGGACCGAAGGGGGGACGCGGAGCTAGGCGAGCACTTTCGCCTGCCTGGGCGTTGGTGGCTTCGGGACTTGACTTCTCACCAGCGCTTCTTGCCGCTGTTGTGGTTGCATCTTTACAACCGCGCATTTGGCTGAAGGCAAATTAAGCGGTTTGGGTGATGAGTGGTAAGCCGGTTTGCAAAACGGCTGCAGCTTGGAAAAGGAATTGTTTCCCTTTGATGAGGATGTGGCTGCGGGACAGCCTTGTGCTGGCAACGTGCCTCTTTCTGTTTCCGTGTAACTCCACTTCAGGTCAGGTCAGCCTTATTTTTCTGCCATACACATTCAGGAACATGCGTGGTCTGCCTGCTCTGGTCCCTGGAGGCAGTTCTCCGGAGCTTCATTCTTGACAGGGTAGCAGGAGAATCTGGGTCTTTCCAAGTGGGCTCTATTTCAGTACTATACAGCAGATCCCCCCACAAAAGAGCCAGGGTTTTGGCTTTGGAAAAGTGATCAGCCAGAAATCTGGCTTTAAAAGAGAGATCAGCCTGAGGGAGGGATCAGTTGAACAGAGAGGGTGAGATGGAGGGGCTGCATGGTCCAGGGAGAGGAAAAAATATTTCTCATGGCACCCCTGTTCAACGATCTACTTCTTAAAACAGGTTTGATGCTCTTCTGGATTACAGACTAGTTTATATCACTTTACGGCTAGTCTTCTAGTCAGGGCAAGCAGAAATACAGAAAGGTTCCTATTTTATTTTAGCAGAAGTGAAACAAGCAGACATGAGTGATACAGTAAATGAGGGAGGTGCCTCTGGTACTTTCTGCCATGCAGCAAAGTAGCAAAATGAGAATGGAAGCCAGTTTGGTCTAATGGTTAAAGTTCTGGCCTAGGAACTAGGAGACCCTGGAGTTTAGTCTCACCTTAAGCATGAAGCCAACTGTGTGATCTAGGGCCAGTCACTTTCTCCCAGCCCAACCTACCTTGTGGGAAAAATAAGAGAAGGAAGAAGTATGTCTGTTGCCTTGAATTACTTACAAAGTAATAAAGATGGGATAAAAATCTAATTAATTAAATGGGGCCATATAGCAACTTGGAATAGTTCCCTTTTTAAGGAATCTCACATGCTTTCTGGAGAAATCAAGTTCACATTTTCAGCAGTGGAATTCACACACACACACACACACACACACACACTCACATAGTCCTTTGGATTACATCCCATACTCAGCAAAGTTATGTAATTTCTAGAAATTTCCAAAACTATAAATCTCCTGAGATGGAATGTGTTGAATAATTCCCATACTAAATTAATTTACATATTTGTGAAACTAGCCAGCACTTAAAGTAAAAGTCTTCAAAAAAAAGGTGTTGTTTTTCTTTAGTTTGACCTCTGGCCTCTATAGATAAATGAATTCTTTAATTACATATGTTTTGGAAATAGAACAATATCTTGATAAAACTAGATCAGATGCCACAAATACTATCAGATTTCACTGAATCTCCTCTAATCTGAGAAAATCCAGTGATTAAATACAATGAAAGGAACAAAAAAAGAATTCATTTGTTTTGGAACTGCCAGTAATTCTTCCATTTGCTCAGTGGTAAAAGATTATCTTATTTCAATAATCCCATTAGCTAACCTATTATAAAATGAGGTTCTTTGCCTTGTTATAATCTTGCTCATGGGACTTACAAAGTATAACTTCCCCAGCTTCTGTTGATTCTCCTCCCCTTTCTAGGTACCGAAGGAGCCCCCAACGCTTAGTCACTGAAACTAGATATTCATCTTTGAATAGAATCAGATCTTCCTCATATGATAAACCAAGTAGGTATTTGATGACTGGAAGACATACTTAATATTGGGAGGAAAGCTGAGAATCACAAGGTTCTTAGGGGGTTTCCTGGTTTTGGAAAGAGCTTTTAAACAGGAGCTTTGTTTTTTAAGCTCCAGTGAGACTATTTTAATATGAGATTTGCATTTTCCAAATGACAAAGAAACATGCCACTGTTCTGATCCAAGGGATCAGAAAGTTACAATGGCACTGAAAAAAGTGACTTATGACCATTGTAGCCTCCCCATGTCATGTGATCAAATTCAGATGCTTGGCAACGTGGTCGTAAGCCGAGGACCAGCTGTACTTTATTTGCAGCCCCATGAGTCTAACATGAATAGATCTATATGGTACAATTTTAGAAAAGCATAAAGCTACCTATCCATTACCTTCATGACTGATCCTGACTACAGATAACTTCTTGAGGTTTGATAGGTGTTCAGTACCACAAATCCATTGGAATTCATCCAATTGAAATCCCAAATCATCTTCCCAGATATTTTCACAATATTTTGTGTTAGTACAAGTGTTATATAACAATAAGATTCCTTTGCTGTTAAATTTTGATTATATCTTACCTCAGATATTGTTAATGTTTTCAAAATTAATGGGACCTGGCTGTTTTACTTACTTGAATCCAGTTGGTTCTTTTGGTTACTTCTGTTGTAAACTGTATTGTATTAATTATAGGTTCTTTAAAGTCTTCTCCCTGTTCCTTGCACTGGACACATTTGTTCTTGTGATCAAGAAAAAATGTTAAAGGAATCGGAGAAGAGGGAAAAAAGTCAGGAGCCAAAGATTGTTCCTTTCATTTGAAGTAGTAGGTATCTTTTTCTTAGTGGAATGTTCAGCACCAAACAAGGAATAAGATAACAATGTGTATTGATCCTTTCATTGTTAAATCCATGGTGGAGATGGACAGTTAAGAAGTTTGATAAATGAATGGGGGGGGGAGGGAAACAGGGTCACAGGTGACTGTAAATTACATATGCCAGAATTGGCTTCATACAGGGCAATGCCAGTATGCCGCCTCTAATAAATTCTTTGAAGTTTTTTGAAGTTTGGCTCAAGAATCATGATTTAATTAGGGTGATTGCTGGAATACTAACAGAATGAATGAAGGAAGGAAGGAAGGAAGGAAGGAAGGAAGGAAGTATGGAAAGAAAGAAAGAAAGAAAGAAAGAAAGAAAGAAAGAAAGAAAGAAAGAAAGAAAGAAAGAAAGAAAGAAAGAAAGAAAGAAAGAAAGAAAGAAAGAAAGAAAGAAAAAGAAAGAAAGAAAGAAAGACAGATGTATAAGAAATGCTTTTGCATTAGAAATGTATTGATTGGTGATTAATTCCACCTGGACTCTTGTAATATACTGTATGTAAAGTTGCCCAGGAAAACCATTCAGAAGCTATAACTAGTATGGACTGAAAAAATCTGGCTACTAGGGCAATCTACTTTAGTAGAGCAACATCTATTTTAAAGTTTCTGCCCTTTGTGATTTGGGGGTTTTCTGAGCCAAAGTGCTAGTTATTACATATAAGAAGTAAAGATAAAGGATTCCCTGTCTAACTCTGGAGGGCGGTACTCATCTCCATTTCTTAGCTGGGAGAGCCGGTGTTGTCCAAAGATATTTCCATGGTCACATGGCCAGCATGACTATATGCCAAGTTGCATGGAATGTTTTATCTTTCCACTGAAGTGGTACCTATTTATCTACTTACATTTGCATGCTTTCAAACTGCTAGGTTGTTAGGAGCTGGGACAAGAGCGGAGCTCACCCCTTCATGTACTTTAGGTCTCGAACTGCCTACCGTCTGGTTGACAAGCCCAGCATCTTAACTGCTAGGCCACCATACCCCTTCAGTTATTACATATATATTTTACTATTTTAAATGCTTCTATTGTTTTAATTGCTTTTATAGTTTTGGAATTGGAACCGTACATCACTATAGAAAACCATTCAACACATAAAATGCCAGACCAAATGGGATAATTAAAAAAAGGGAACTTCACTCAAATTGGACCCAGATTCTTGGAGGAAAATTCTTCACAGTGAGGACTCGCCATATATGGACAGGAGGAGGCTTCATTCCAGAGGATAAGATTGTTGTGTTTGACTGGAAAATCAAAATGAATTATTGGAGATTGCAGATAGCAAGAAGATAGTGCAAATAAATGAATTTCTGCACATTGGTAGATTGCTTACTCAATATGTAAACTGGATTGAGACATTTTAAGAGGTGCAAATGCTTGTAACAATGTAGCCTATTGTCTGATATAAATAATGAGTGTTCATCAAAGTAATTGAAAATGCTCGAGTAGAAAAATAAATTTCTACAAATGAGGTGGGAATGAGAGACTACAAAGTGAAACTGTAAAACGGGGTTGGATCAAGAATGAATGTGAAGTGAATAGAAATGAGTGTGAAAGAAACATGGAAGTGCTTGATCAAAAACAGAATGAATGGATTGAGACGGATGCAAATCTGAAGGGATACTTAAAAATGAATGGTGAAAAGTTCAAGAACAAAATAACAGAATGAAGGAGTGTACGGGTGGAGTGGAAGAAGGGACAGTTTGCAAGAATTGAAAGGTGTGGGAGTTGAAATGAATTATGTTGATGTAAACTAGATTTTCTTCTTCCTTATTTCTTGGGTTTAATTGCTTTTGTCTATTGCTTCTCACACTTCTTCTGCGCTTTGCATAACTTTGCTTACTCCAAAAGAAGGTAATACAATCACCATATATGTATGGGTGTGATCTTGCTGTCTGGGAGAAATGGTGCTACCCTAACCAGTAAGGAATTATAGTTTGTACCCAATGAATACTGTTTGACTACTTTTTGATAAGAAATAGCACTGAGATTTCAAATGTTTAAACTTCTATTGTGCTTTATTTGCCTAGTCATGAAGGAAGATGTTTATTTAGATATAAATGAAGAAATAATTGTCATACATAACAACCAAATAATAGAAAAGGGAAATAGGAGAGCTTGTACTTAATTAATAAAAGGTAGTAAAAAAAGAATGTTGGGAAATATAGTCATTTTAACTGCAACAAGTGAGGTTGTTTTCTCCTACATTTAGCAATGTTTTGTCTAGAAAGTAATGGTGCCTGCAAATTCCTTGCCCTGCAAATACAAGGTAGATGGCA